TATTTTCAGGTTAACTTAGCAGCTAGTAGCGACTAATACTGTAACTGAAAATGATGGGTAGCTATATGTCACGCATGCGCAGCAGCACAAAGGCAAGGCAGCTGGGTGACAGTGAGCAGCCGACAAAAAAGACAGCCAAAAATGAAGCTTTAAGTCGCCCTCCGTATCGAGGAGATGTGAGTTTGGTGGAGGCGGTAGAAGGTGTAGAGGAGGCTTCAGGGAAAAGCGGTTCTTACCGAAACGCAGGGGCTGGAGCTGGTGCTGGGGGTCGGTGAACGCTGCACGGTAACCAGCGCCATTCAGCAACCGGGAAGCGGACACCTGAGAGGAAGCGACGGCGGAGACACGAGCATAATTGTGTTGTGAGGGCGAAAGCCCAGTTGAACCTGACTTTTTGATCTTCTCTCCTTTAACCCCCCTCCCTCTCTTTCCCTGTGATCGTACACTGTTTGACTACTCCCCGGCTGTTTCCTCTGTAAGCGCCACCTGCGCATGCGCAACTACCCTTAGCTTGTCAATCCCGATTAACCGTGTGTGTGCTGGAGATAAACAAAGCACTTATGAGGAGTGTCTACAGAGAAGCAATACTACTTCTTAAGAGATCATTTATTTGAATAGAAGTGTAAAGGCACCATTATGTAAACCGCATACAACAATTGCATTACAAGGTTTAAGCCTACAATCGAATAGAATAGAATAGAATAGAATAGAATAGAATAGAATAGAATAGAAAGCCTACATTGTTATTGCAATTCAATTACAAAGAGATTGGGAGTGCCACTCCAGCTTGATGAAACAAGGTTGAAGCTAAAGGAAAGCAAACTACAAGACTGTATAATAAGTATGTATATAAATAACATAAAATTAATAGAATATTTTAAGGGTTTTATTGTGTGACAGTGTGTGCGAGTGTGTACTGTGATTGTTCACTTTGCATGTTGGTTGAGAGTGGTAATGGCCTTAGGGTACAAACTGTTTCCACAACTGTTAGTCTGAGATTTAGTGACCTGTAGCGTCTGCCTGAGGGCAGAAAGTCAAACCAGTGGTGGCAGGGTGAAAGGAGGCTTTTACAATGTTTTGGGCAGTGGAAACTAAGCAGTCAGCATACTATACTGTGTGGCTTTTTCTTGAAACTATTCACACAGACTACTACTTTAGGACTGTTGTAGTTAAACTAATGAAGCTTGAGGACAAATATATCCTAATACTCTGTAGGAGGCATGCTGCTTTAATTTTAAATAGATGGTATCTTTAATATTTTAAATATAGCAGCAAAAGACATTAGTATTGATAGATGTATAATGATCTCAAAGTGCTTCTTAATGCGGTTTATTGATTTTATAAGACAGTTTATTTGCATAAAATACTTTTATACATATGCTGCTGTCAGTTTAATTCATTTACAATGATCTGAGACCAAAGACTTTACCAAATCCACTTTCGTAAATTGCTCTCAAATCTGAAAAGCAAGACTAAATTGGAAAAACCTTTGTATAAAATGGCTGAAGAGAATTAGCCTAAACCTGTTGTACTCATGCTTAAGGCTGGGGAAAAGAAAAAAAATGGGGCACCTTCCTGTAGTCTACCAGCCAGCAGTCATATGATATTTTGTAAGCATACGCAAGTAGCTTCCTGTCCAAACCTGTACAGCTACACTGTTATCTTTGTTGCCTGAGGGCACAGATCAAGGATAACAGGAACCTGTCAAAAACCACAGACGTAAATATATTAAATGTGTGTCATCATCAGCAAGTGTAACACAGCCCAGAGACCAGCACGTGGAGGTATGCACAGATTCATCATGCTAGGACTACTACTGCCATTACCCGTTGTGAAATCTGGTTTCACTCTCTCCATTCGTCTGCACAGACTTAATTGTTAAAAATCAAAAACTAAGGCATTAAACAATAATTCACTGTATTTCCTTGAAGGCACTGGTAGTTCATTTTCCCCCTATTTTCTCTGTTGCACAAAAAGCAAAAATGTTTCTTTTAGTCACTGATATCCACATATCTTAGCCCTACTACGTGAATGTTACTTAAAGCACTTCTTCTGGCCTTATGTAAACCTACCTGTCCATTTAACCAGCACTGCATAGTTCATTTGATCGCCATATAGTCCATTCATCTATCAGGCAGGTTTGGTCGTGAATCGCAAGGATTAGCAGTAAGGCCACAGGGGAGATGAGATGCAGATTACGGAAGAGATAATGGTGTTTGGATTTAGAGTCACTCAGATGAGGCGGCTGGGACCGAAAGCTACAGCTTTAATCACAGGTGAGCCGTGCGCTCTTTGATCTTATTTAATGGAATGAATTAACGTACAGGTTTAGAAGAGAGCATTTGACAAAACAAATCAAATTAAAATAAATGAAAGGTGTTTGAGATTTATCAGCACTTGATTTCTCAACAGTTAAAAACTCATCTATTTAAGGAGCACTTTGAGCAATGTGAGGCGTCCCTATGGGCCTCCCATTGTTTTTAATAATAAATGACTACTTTCATGTTATTGCACTTTGTTGATGTTCGGTCACAAATTTCAGTACACTTTGGTTTTTGGTCATTGTGGTGATTTATTGTAGAATTTGTTTCCACTTTGGAGGTTAGGAACCTTTAATGAATCAACTCTAGGGAGGTGAAGGAGCTGTACCAATACAGAAAAATATTAAAGCCCAGTTCTGCTACAGTAAATTAGGTTTTTAAAAAATATATTTTTCTGCTGCCTAAAGTATTGACTAAGCACATGATCAGTTGTGGCCATCTTCCTGATGTACTCATGGATGTTTGTTGTAAGACACTCACTAGTCCTCAGCCTCCTTCCATCCGCTTTGCAAGCAGCCTCAGGGTGCTGGATTTGGGGTTAAATCATGTACTTGTTTGTAAATATTTTCACAAATTACAATTAAGATATTGTAATAATTATATTTCAATTTTACAATTGTAATGCATTGTAATGACTGACTTTTTGTAGAAAAGTCAGCCATTCATGTTTTAGTGACAGTCATGGAAAATGAAAAATTAGCAGTGGTAGATAAAACATAAATACTATACTCAAATACCAATATCATGTGCTTTACTATTACAGTGCCACATCTCAGAGGCACATATTACATTTGCTACTAAGCTTTAATTAGCCTACAAGTTACTTTTCAGATCACAATTTGTAGTGCCATTTGAAATCATTAAAAAAACAAGCATTTCAAACTTGCTTATGATGAATTTTAGTAATAAACTAGGCCTTGAGGGTCAGCTGTTCTCGGAAATTCTCAGACTTTATCGGTCAGCTTGGCAACAATTGCTTCCAGAATAGTTGCAAAATATAGTTGCTAAGTTGACATTTTCAACATTTTTGAGCTTGTCACTTTGTGGTTCTCACATGGCAGCTATACACATGTGACAGTACCAAACCAGCAGAAGTAGCCATAATAAACTCAGCTTCAGTAAAATGTTGGGTACATACTAATGCAGCATATTATATGCAGTATAGAATACAAGTGGATACTTACACTTGCAAACTCCATTTTGCTGCTCATGCACTTCATGTAGCACTTTTATGTATATAACGGCAGCAGCAGAATTAGTAGGCTAACTTGTTTTATTTGCAACATGTCAGTAACGTAACTGAATATAAAAAGAGCATCTTACAGAGGCAGAATTTCAAAGTGGTAAAGCTGGGCAGAGCTTGGTTGAATGTGGCATGTTGTATAAAAGCGCTATGAGTCAAGCTAAGAATCAATCCATTTACCATGAATAAAAAAACAGATCCTATATCACACAAGAGAGGGACAAAATTCATCTCCCAAAAGATCTCCTCAGTTCCCAAGATGGGTTTATTTTGCACAGTCACTGTACATGTACATACCACTACCTCTCCACTACAACTGCTACAATATTTGATTTATTATTTTCTTATTTTAAATAAATATATATTTTCTTTATTTATATTGTTCATCTTATTGTTATCTAAGTGTTTCTTGTATGCAATTTTACCTTTCTATGTGCAATATTGAGGGGGCTCTGAGCCTAAGAATTTAACTGCTGGTAGTAATGTGCCATTGATACCTTTATATGACAAATAAACGACTTGAAAATCTGAAAGTTGAACTTGAAACTTGGATGCTATATAAACATGGCCCTGTCCCTGTGGCTACAGTCAAATTCAAGGTGACATTTTTTTTTCCTTAAAATTATTATTTTTTCAGTTTAAACATTTGACATATGTTCTATGTACACAAGTTGTAATAATAGCTTATATGAGCGTCAGTATTACCGAATTATTTATTACCTGTCCAGGTAAGCAAGTCGGAGTTTATCTAATCTCCAAAAGTTGATTCTGTTCATCTGGACGTAGCGTTTTGTAGGAGAAACGTTTCGTCACTCATCCAAGTCACTTCTTTAGTCTCAGCTGACTGTAGGTTTCCCCAAATCTTATAAACAGTACATTTGCATAATGACTGAAACCAGCCCACTGAAGGAACAATGGGCTGGGAGGTCAGTTCCTCTGAATCGAGGAGGGGGCCTAAGGGTACATCTTTCGCCATCTTACAATGCTGTGATTGCAGCCATTCCCCAACTCTTTGTGAATGATACTCATGGCCATTGATCAGTGGTCTTTGATCAGTGGGTTTTGATCAGTGGGTTTTGGTCAGTGGTTGTTGATCAATGGTCATGAGAATTTGCATAATTATGATTAAGGAACTGACCTCCCAGCCCATTGTTCCTTCAGTGGGCTAGTTTCAGTCATTAAATGTACAATTTGGGGAAACCTGCAGTCAGCTGAGACTGAAGAAATCACTTGGATGAGTGACGAAATGTTTCTCCCACAAAACGCTATGTCCAGATGAACAGAATCAACTTTTGGGGATTTACTTTCCTGGATGATTGAGAATGCATTAAGACGTTTATCTAATGTTACCTCTATGCGTTAGAAGTCCGTACATTTGTAGAAGAGGGTCAAACCCATAACAGCAGCAAATAACACTCCCCAAAAACATGGATATGGCTCCTTCATGCGGTGACCTTATTTACTGCCTGCTGAGTTGAAGCTTATGTTTGTAGCCGCTTGAAATTGTGTCGAATCTGCTGTGCGAGTCCACAGCCAGCGGAGCAAGATGGCGGTCCCTACGAAACAGTGAGTTGCAGACATGCTAGCACGATTATAACAACATGTTATTATATTGTTTCAGGTTGTTACGGTAAAGCTTAGAGTCGTGCTAAAAGAGCTTATTTCACTATAACAGCCGTGTAGTTCCAGCTCGGGGTTTTGTATAAAAACGTAGGCTCTCCTTGCAGCTAGCGACCCAGCTAGCGAAATGCTAACGTTATGTTAGTCTCTCTCATAACTTATTAAACAGCAGCTTCTTAACGTTGGTTATCAAAAAACCTGTTTTGTGTTTTTCATGGTTACCACTCCTCTGTCAGCTTATTATTTTTTTTTCTTTTATTTTAACCCGAACAGATGGTTGTAGTTGGGAAGAGTTCACAGCAAATGCTAGTCATTCAAAATACAGTTTGGTCTATTTGATCCGTAAAAAAACAAACAAATAATATGGCATGTTATGCTTGCTTAGTGTCACAGTCAGTTTAAAGCCTTTGCTGTTGTCCCCATTGAAGATGCATAATCATTATGGTAACCAGTGAAAGCTTGTCAAATGTGCCGTTTAATCTGTATGCTATACAGTTCATTTGTATAACTGTACACATGTATACATCTGTGGGTTTGTCTGTAGTACATCTGTATATTTGCGCTCTGTATAGCAATATAAACATCTGTATACTTAATTTATTTGTCATAATCCGTTCATAATGATTCCCACCTTTTATACTACCCTTATCTGTGTATAATCGCACTTTTGCACTTACTGCTCTTGCACTTCTGATTCGATGCAAACTGTATTTTGTTACCCTGTATTTATACATGTGTAATGACAACAAAGTTGAATCCTAATTTAAGAACCTCTGTTTTGTGATTATCCTCAGGTATGGGCTCATTTTGCCACAAAAGAAGGGATTATCAAAGACCACTACCTTACCAAAACCCTCTGTATTCGATGATGACTCTGATGAAGAGGTGGGTAAACAGATTTGTTATAAACAAGACATTACAATTTGTACTTTGTCACTTAGTAAAATGAATGATTCAAGTATTTTGTCTATTAAGAAACTGAAAATAAATAATAAAGAAGTTTATCCACTAACTAGCTTGCTTGTTAGCAGGCTTCTTTCTAAATATACTGAATTTATTTTTGTATGTTTTTTCCCTCAGACCTCAGTTGGGGAAAGCCTGCAGAGAGAATCTATAAAAAAGAAGATGATGAAACAAGTAAGAAGAAAAATTAAAAGATTCATTGTAATTAAAAAAAACAAACAAACAAACAGTGATGTGATGCCTTCATCTTTCTGTCTTCCACTTTCCTTCTTTCTGAAGACGCGTCTGGAGATGCAGAAGGCCCTGGAACAGGACAGTACTGTATATGACTACGATGCTGTGTACGATGACATTCAAAAACAGAGACTAGAGACCAACAAAAAAATTCTGGGAGGCACAGACAAAAAGGTAAATTAATTTGTGCTGAATGCTTATAAAGCTGTGCTTGAAAACTAAGCAGCTGGAGTAGTAACAAAACCTCAGTGCTGCTGTTCGGTTCAAGTTGTTTTCTGATGTCCATTTGGTGTAATATATGAGATGAAAATTTGTCTGTCTCTCTTTGTTACAGCCAAAATATATCCACCAGTTAATGAAAGCAGTAGAGGACCGAAAGAAAGAGCAAGAACGAAGGGAGGAGAGGAAGATTCAGAAGGAAAGAGAAGCAGAGGGAGAGAAGTTTGCGGATAAAGAGGCTTATGTTACATCCGCCTATAGGCAAAAACTGCAGGAACAGAAGGAGGAGGAGGAGAGAGAGAAGAGAGAGGCAGAGATGGAAGGTTGGAGTGATACTTAGCAGTTGTTATTAATGTCTGTGAATGACTGATGCAACTTTTTGTAATCTTTGAGCATTTTGGATATTTTAAATACAAAGTATGTCTGATTTGTTAAAATTTGTGTTTACTTAGCTGCTTTGGATGTGAAGAAACAAAAAGACCTGAGTGGCTTTTATCGGCACCTCTTGAATCAGACTGTAGGAGAGGAGGCAATACCAGATCGCTCTGCGAACAAGTCAGTCATAGCTTCTCATTGCTTGCTCACTGATGAACATGTGCATGTTTTTTTTTCGGAGTCTTTATTATATCACTGTTTCTTTTACAGACCTCAAACTTCAAAGGGTTCAAAAGACACAGAAAAGACTTCACCTGCTTCCTCACCTCCATCCAATGAAAATATCCCAAGTTCAAGCAGTGACATCGAGGAGTCGCATGAGCAGAAATCTGGGTTTAGCAAGCCTGGGGGCGGCTCTGCACACTCAAAACGCCAGTACAGGCAGAGGTCACCTTCATCAGGGAGCGGTGACGAAAAGGAGAGGGAAAAAGAGAAGGAGCGAGACAGACATAAAAAGAGCCACAGAGACCAAGACAGAGCAAGGAATAGAGATAGAGAGCGAGAAAGAGACAGAAACAGGGGAAGGGAAAGAGATGACAGGCATGGAGAAAGAAGAAGCGACAGAGATAGAAGGAGAGATAGAGACCGAGGTAGAGAAGACGACAGAGGTAGAGGAGGCAGAGGTGATACCGAAAGGGATGACAGGCATGGAAAGAGGGAGAGGAGCTCCAGAGAAAGAGAACGGGATAAGAATGGTGAGAGGGAAAAGAGAAGGAAACCGGATGAAGACAAGAGGAAAGACAGACATCTGGAGGAAGAGCAGGCACTACGGAAGGAACCAGAGAAGGAGAAGGGCATGAACAAGGAAGAAAATGAACTTGAAAGGAAGGAAGAAGCTGAATGCACAATAGAGAACAAAGATGAGCAGAAAAATCAAGGCGAGGAGAAAGAGGAAGCGGAGGAGAAGACAAACAAGTTTGCAAAGCGCAGCACAGATCAGACTGTGAGTTCGGCAAGAGAGAGGTACATGGCCAGGCAGATGGCCCGCTCTGCATCTAAAAGCTATATCGAGAAAGAGGAGGACTGAGAGCACACACAGAAAACATCTCCAAACTGCACTCTGTGTTTTGAGAATATTTTATATTTTGTTTAAAAGACATCCCTTAAAAAAGCAAATGATTTTTTTTCTTTAAACACTTAGTGCTAACTGAACCTGTAGGGTGGTTCCTACTGAAAAATAAACATTTTAACATCTTAACATGAAGCTGTATGTAAGAGACTTGTTTAAATGTTTAGGTGGAAAATGCTCAAACTGGAGGAAATTGGGAAAATGTATTTTTAAGGACTATTTTTCACTGTGGATTAATGCATACATGGTGGACTAGTGGGGCTTTAAGACTAGAACAGGATGAACTGCAATGTTTGTGTTCATTTTAAAGAACATCCTCCCACTGCAGCAATGTGGATTTTTGATCTTCATAATGTTTCTGAACAGCAGTAAAGCTCAAACTGAGTAAGATGACAGTACTTGTTAGTAGGGTAAGTTTATTGTTGGTTATAGCCTTTTCATGGAACATTAATATGATTATAGTACATTACCAACCTTTTCCTGTAACCACCATACAATGAACAGACTGAAAGTGTGCAAATATTTCACAGTCCCTGGCAAAGAAATGCAGATTTGTGTTTTATCTTTGTAAAAATAAAAATGTTGAATATGAGGGTTTTTTTTCTAGAGAGCCTCTTGTATCCTGTCCTAAATGAATGAGTGTAAATCGTACGTTTTATCTCAGCTGCTAAACTGCAGATTTGACTTCTGAACTGGTGATGTGTTCATTCACTTTTTATTTTTCTGGTGTATTCAGTGATGGACTAATAAAATAAGGTCTGATTCACAGTTTCTACTGCTCCTCCTGGTCAGTCTTAATTCCATACTGAAATAAGTACAAAAGAGAATTCAGAGGGTATCATTTTTTATTGCTATATAATCATTGCAAAGGAAAGTTGGAGATATAGAGAATTGAACAGTTGAACATATTTATTTGCTTTCACCATTAATGCTGCTGAGTCACTATTATGCCTATTTCACAATATGTTTTACTTAACATGGGCATTTTTTTAAATGTATAATTTGCTCAAACACAGATATTGATCACTGTTGAGGAAGTTAGATCACTGATTGACTGATCCTAATTTCATCCAACCTCTTAGTAATAGAATGTAGGAAAGTTAACTGTCAAATAATCAGTCTGCCCCTTTGTGTCACAACAATATTAAACAAAAATGGAAAAATAAAGAAAATGGTTTACATTTTTTGGTCTAAATACTTTGGGGATTCCCCAAGTAATCCCCCCCTCTGAAACCCCCTCCTCCCCAAACTGCACCCCTTGAGCTGGCTCTAAAACCTAGTTCTAGTATGTTATAAAGTTACTAAGCACTAATTAGCAGGTATACCTATCTGACCATGGCACCCTAATAGTTTATGAATGGAACTTTTGCTAGCCATTGCTGGTAACTTGAATAATGATAACACTTTGTATTATGAAAATTATGAAAGGAAATGGACAAAAAAGATCACATTTTTGGCCTACAGTGGTTTGGTTTGAAAGGAAGAAAAAAGCAAAAGGAAAAAAAAACATAATCTAAGCCTGGCCACCCCTGTAAAAGCTGGTGCATTAAGACTTAAAAGCAAGTATGATTGCAGGAATCTTTTCAGTTCTTCTGATTTGGTCTGGTCTAGTTATACATTGAGATGATAGACTACTGAAATGAAAGAAAAGGCAACTTTTAGATGTACGATTTATTTCGTTTATGGCTAATTTCTGGACTGTAATGGTTCTGTATTTCAGTTCTCTCATGTGTTCTGAATTTACTCTATAAAACTATAGTAACATGCATGATTATGCATGGATAAATGACTGAAAGAGTCATTTTCTTAACACACTTACACTTAACACACCTATAATAGTAAAAGGCAATTCTTACTTATCCTAATATTATAATTACACACAATCGCAAAGGTTAATTAATAGTGACACTTTTATTAAAGTGCACCATTAAAGAGTATTAAGTGGTATTAAATATACTTGCCTCATCCCAGGTCAGGTGGATCTTACCATCAGATGATTTGCCCTTGAAAATGTCTGTGGAGAAAACCCCCATGCAACAGACGTCTAAGCACATTTTGAAATAGATAAAAGATATGGATTTATTCTTCGATTTGTGGTCGCTTACCTGACATCTTATCCAGGCGCAACATGAGAGTGATGAACTCCTCCAAAGAGGTGGTGGAGAAGCCTGAATACCGAGACATCATCAGCCCCACACTGGCATCATTAACATCCATTCCTGATAAAGACACAAGGAGACAGTGAGGAGTTCTCCAGTTATAACATGAAGCAAGCTCCAAATGTGTTACTACACTTAAATGTGTTCAAATGTGACAATAATTAGTGTTACCTGCATCTTTAATTGCCTTCTGGAGCTCATCGTCAGACAGGGATCCATGTTCATTCACATCAGAGCGATGAAAGAGATTCTACAAGCAGGATGAACTTAGATTTAGAAGAAAACAGTGTTGTGAACATATCTCATTTTTAAAATTTTAAACTGAACATTTTTTGGGGGGAAAAAACTCTAAAAGTTGAAGAAATAATTAAATTATGTATAAATCTTGGAGACTATACTTGCTGCATTACTTTGTATTCTTGAATCTTCTTCCAGAGAATTGAGAATTCAGTAAAGGTCATTGTCATCCTTTGATCGAGCTGTGCAGGTTAAGGATATCTTACAAAAAAGTTCTTACTCCTAATAGAAATGTGGCCAGTTGTCAGTTTGATCATCAGCTTTGGTCATTTTGGGTGTGGCATCACATAAAAGCAAAAGGAAAATAACTGTATAATTTAGGATACATCCACCAAGGCAATCATACTCCTGCAGGCATCCAAACTAAAGCCCCTGTGGCCATTCCCTGTTGAAAAACATTAATTTTCTCTATAAAAGCAAACAATCAACAACAAGATATGAATGATGATTTTGAACCTTTCATAGCACACATGTTCAGCTTACCATGAGGGAATCTGTCATTCAGGAGCTTCTGGAGTTGTACAGAAAGCAGCTCATCATTCTACCAAGAGGCAGAGAAACAACTAAAATGTATCGGTGCATATCAGGAAAAAGTAAAGATTTGAAGAAAGAGAAGAATATTGACACCTGATCAGCATAGAGTTTAAAGGCATAGTTTGGATCCTCATCAGTGGCTTTCTCATTGTCTTTGTCTCGGATCTACAAGAGAGCAAAATTTATCTCTTTCTTATTAGCAGCAGTGTGAAATAGAGGCTATAACACTTGGAGGAAAAATATACAACACAGATTTTTCAAACCTCAGAAAGATGGTCATCTTTTTCATCTTCCCCTCCTTTACAGGGCCTAGAAGCAGAAGAGAAGGTTTAAAGCTTTACAATTAACATTTGTCATCAAGCTATTTCAAGATCTCAAGAAAACAGGATGTGACGTTTCAGGATCATGATAGCCATAATGAGTCTTAGCAGGATTACTGAAGTCCACTGAAGGTGAAACCAAACCATTCTCCTTAAGTCAGTGGTTCCCAAACTGTTTTGCTAGGCCCCCCTTTGTTTTATAAGAAAAATGTTTGCCCCCCCACCACCACCTAAACAAAGATATGCTTCACCATATTTTCTAGTCTTTGGCTTGAAGGAAGTTGGTTTGGAAACATATTTGGCGATGCTTCATCACCTGCTTTGCGTTTGTGTGGGAACCCCGTCAAAAACCCGTCCATTATGCTAGCAATGTCCAAGCATTCTTTTTTCATGATGGATTATCAGCTGAGAAAGACACAATGCAGCATCGTCTCTTGACCTTTAATAAATTAAGACTACAGCTTTATTTGTTGATTAATAAAGGAATGGTGGTTAATTATGACCTGCTGCACAACTTTTTATCACTTTTGGAAATAGACTGATGTTTAAAGATCATATTAGATCAAGCTTTAAGCTTTAAGTCAAGGATCCATCATATTAAAATAAGCCACTTTCTTTTGGAATAAAGGTTTTCAGTGAGCCTTACAAAATATGTTAAAGGTCAGAGAAAGCCTTTACCTGATCTTGGCATCAGCTTTGGTGTAGACAGTAAGAATAAAGTCTGCAGTGATGTTGGGTTCATACGTGAACGGGACGATCACATACTCTCCAGGTTCCAGACTGTAGAATTCAATGAGATCTCGCCGAGTGCTGTAAGTCTTTTCTGCCTTCACATACCTGTTGCTCAAAAAGAAATAGTATTGCAGGCATCCTTTTGGAGTCTGGCAGAAATATAAAGGAATATCTATAGTGAAATACTCTCCTGAGTCTCATTGTACATTGTTATTAAAGTTATTAAAATGCTGAATTTACTTTTGGTGCACAGACAGTTTCATATATTTGTTATTGTTTGTACTTACCCCTGGTGGAATCTGTTAATTGGAAAATGGTAAGAATAATATCATTAAACTGTTTCGCAGGAACCAATTTCCATAGTAACTTTAAATAATGAATGTGAAATCAGTGAAGGCATTTTTTTTATTTTATATTGTTTTACTAACTCAGCTGCTAAATTAGGAAAAGTGCTTGTGTTTTAATAACAGGGTGATACAATTGTTTTAAAGATTTAGTTTCTTGTCCTTTGGTAATCAGTTGCAGTATTTAACAATTATTTAAATTAAAGGAAGCGGATTCAGAATGAATACCTTATAGAGTTCAGTTTGGTGATCAATGCGATTTCCCTGATGAGCTTTCAGCATCAGGGAGAGCATGATGTTTTTGTCTCCTGGCTCCTTCTTGTCTATAACAGTCACTCGAATGCGATACTGAGGGTTTGTTGCAAAGGTGGCTACAGAGAGGAAACAGTTTATTTGTTAGTTACAGGTTTTAGAAATTTATGGTGGGTTTTGTGTTTGTACAGATAAAT